TGTAGGGTAATTACACTTTGCAGGAGAGGAATTTCCTCTGGGCCAATCTGTTTTCGATTTACACCAAGGATAATTTACAGGATGAAGGATGAAGTACCAAATTAATGCAGTAAATTACTCTTTAATTTTTCTAAATCGTACCTCGAGGACAAGGCAGAGCGACTGCCAGACATTACAATGAAAAGTTAAAGACGTCGGCGAGCTCTGTGGTATCACAGACATCTTTGATTTCTTATTTTTTTTATTGTCACGTGTTGCCTGTCTTGCGTGTGTGAGGGACTGAATGTGCTCACTGCTTTTTTAGCTGCCATACATGTTGATAATGTCAAAGCTACTTTGTGGTAACAGTGGATGTTAGTTGTTCACTCCGTGCAGCAGCTACTGATTTCAGCCTGACTAAGACGGACAGCAAAACAACAATATTTTTAGAGGCTGCACATCCACACAAAGACAAGACAGAGAGCTGAACAACAGCTGGAATATAATACACACAGGCCTACTTTAAATTAACATAATTGCACAGATCTAAATAATGATTGAATATTATCTATAGTGTGAGTGCAGTTGCAAAAATGTTTGAGCAGAGTCTCACTCAGTCTCCACATCATCACTCAGGCATGCACACAACACACATAGTTGATGGTAGCTTGAATACCATTTGCACACAATCCAATTTGAATCCAATTTGATATATAATGTATGTTTTTCAGTTTTTCTCACTTCCACTCCGTCTTATTTTTTGTGTGCGCACACAAAAAAAATGATTAGCAAGTTTTTTTATTTGTTTTCCCTCCTGTCTTTTCTGGCTCATATCATCACTCTCCTCACTCGTACGTCACCTAATCAATCACACTGTTTTTCTCCTTCGCTCCTCGTTCCTCCCCCCTTTTTCTCGCCATCTTCATCTCCCTCCCACTCTCTCTCTGTCCTCCACCCATCCATCCATCCATCTATCTATACATCTCTCAAGTGGTAGAGTGGTTCAGGTCATTTCCATACAGTTAGCTTAATGTATGCTGATGATAATAGCCTATCGACCTACTCCTCCACACATACATCCATTTTCCTCCCTCGTTCCCTCCATCCATCCATCCTCTGTTCAGACCGGAGGAAACAGCAGACGAATGAGAGGAGGGAGGGAGGGAGGAAGTGGAGGGCCACTTGATTGAGCGCTGATGGTAACAGGCATCAGCGCTCAGGCTGAGAAAGTACAAATACATTTGTCTCCCACTGATTTGTAATCTGTCCATTTTTTTACAGCGAAAACTTCTGATATGGTTATATTGCATGAAAGTGTGATTATATGATTTTTTGTCATGTTTAATTGCAATCACATATCGTCTGAAACTTAGTGCTTAGGTGGGCGTTCTTGTTATGTCTCAAACGTGAATATTTGGTTGTTTTCTTGGTGTTCTAGGATAAGAAACTGACTATCTTTGGGCTTCAGGCTCTTGGTTAAAACATGCAATTTAATGACAATATTTTCTGATATTTTATAGACCAAATAATGAATCAAGAAAATTATCAACAGATCAGTTTGTAATGAAAATAATCATTCGTTGTAGCCCTAGTGTATGAATGAAGCATCCATGTTAAATACAGTGGGAAAGGGACTTCCACAAAGGTCCTGGGTACCATAACATAAAGACAGTGAAATGCTCCTTGATTGCAAAAAATAAAATAGTAATAGAGCTTCAAATTCGCCCACATAAATGGACCATTCTGTCTCTATTTGTTGCTTTAACCTGACTTGATATTTACTGATATTTTGAAGACTTGTCAATGCTTCTTGGTAATAGAGGCATGTTCTAAATTACCTCAAACATAGCTCTGACATTTCTTGTTATGACCACCATGAGCACAGTTGCCGACGTCTCTGCAAAGTGTTGTTCGGCTGGGATACTGTACTGTAACCACGCCAAGTTACCTATGTCACTATCCTCTGAGTACTCAATGGCTATGTTATCATGCACACCAGTATTCCACTATTATTTCGAGTATGACAATACTCTGACTTTAATGGGGGCCACATAAACAGTGTTCATCCATGTTCCATTTAAATATTCCAAATTAGGCCTTTTTCCCAAATTTAGCATTTTAAGATTATGGCATGTGTTGCTAGCATTCAGATTTTAGGAGCAGGCTCACAGGCAGAGTGGGTCGTCATCCAATCGTAAGTTGGATCCCCGGCTCCTCCGGTCTGCATGTCAAAGTATCCTTGTGCTAGATACTGAGCCCCAAATTGCTCCTGATGGCTGTTCCATTGGTGTGTGGGTGTGTTAAAAATTGGAGTAGCAGATGGCACATTGTATGGTAGCCTCGGCCACCAGTGTATGAATGTGTGTGTGAATGGATGAATGTGACTCGTAATGTAAAAAGTGCTTTGAGTGGTCAAATGACTTGAAAGGTGCTATATAAGTGCAGGTCCATTAACCATATGAACACGTATACATATCATTTGGGGTTTTTTAGTGCAGTAGCCATTAAGAAAGATTTACATATTAACAGGTTTTTGGATAAGCATACATGTGGAAACACAGACCTTTTCAACAAGGTGGTTGAAGAAATGAAAGAAGTTCACCACTGTTATAAAACATAAGTCGTATGCCTTCATATGAGGGCTGCGTGTAAACGGGAATATTAGTTAAATGTTCACTTATATGAGACATGTAAACAGCTTAGTGTGAGTATTGTCTTTTTCAGAATAAGGGCAATCATCAGAATAATTTCTGTACATAAACATAGTCAGTGTCTCCCACATAATCTACAATTTATCACTTCAAATGTAATTTACAAAAAAAACATATACAAGTATGACATAAGTTAAAATAGCTCAATTAGACCTAGTCTGTGCATCAGATACAAAAACAGTTTCAAACAGTGGACACATCCTGAATAAATCAACTCATCCTCTTGTGTGTTTTCAGTATTTTGCTAGAATTCAGCCACTACCAGCAGTGGGTCAAATGGTGTGTTTTAACCATGTGTCATTAGCTTTTAGCCATTGTCATTATCCAGTATCATCCATTAGCTTTAAGCTATTAGCCTGCCTGCATTATTTAGCTGCTCCTCACACACTGGAAATGACTGAACCTCCTTGACAGAAAAGTCTATCATCTTCGGAAGTAATGTTACGGGTCAGCAGTGCTTTCTGGCCTGGAGAGATCCGCTTATTGACTAGTAATAAAAAAAAGTGATCACATTACTCCATTAACTGTCCATGTTGTTTGCTGAGTAAAGCCATTAGACTGGTAGCAGGATTTTAATATTATTTGGATAAGATCAGTCCACATTTTGCCTTTGCACACATACAGAACGTGTGTGTGTGGGGGTGTGTGGACGGTTGCTGGAGCGGTGCAGGAAGAGCAAGAAGAGGATGTATCTGTTACATCATGTCATCTTTTTATCTCTCCTTTTTGACAAAAGGAGCTGAGACAAGCTCTTTTACCTCAGCCACAACACACACTTATCTGTCAGTTACTGACAGATAAGTGTCAGTGTGACACACACACACAAAAAAATACACACACACTCAAAAGCAGAAGTGTGTATGTTTGTAACTCTGCAAGCTCCTGTTGGCGTGTTTACATGAATTTAATGAATGCATTTGTTAGCCTGTGACTGAATTAGAAGTGAGCTTGCAACTTTGGACTTGTTGCTGGCTTTGTAGTCTCACAGTACATCACCATGGTAACTTTAACGGCATAGATGATCTGCTCTGGAGGAGATTGTATTTTGGCCATTGAATCCAAATATAAAATACCCTACCAGTCAACTTTCTGGATAAATGGTATTACTATTCCTAGTCGGGGCCATGAACTCGATGCAGAAATAGAAAAGAGGCTGTTTGCAGGGACCTCCTTTGCTTCCCCCGATGATTTATTAAAAGATAGAATAAATGAAAGTAATGTTTCCAGGCATTTTCACCCTCTCTGGTGAAAGAAAAAAGAGGAGAGCTTCTATTAAGTAGAACCAGGCTCATATTAGATGATTAGAATTATCAGTGAGTACATTTTCTCTTGCATATTGAAGAGAAAACCTACTCTAGAACACAGTCACTCCATTAAAGCAGTTCTGGGTGATAATGCCTCCGGTGATGTGTCATTTTTTTATTCATGCAGATAACTGGTGAATTCTGAAAGGAGAAAATGAGCAGTAGGTATTAGGTATTAGTGTCAGTTAATCAGAAGTCAGATCAATCATACAAGAAGAAATCTGTCATAGACGAGGCAGAGTTACAGTGGCGTCAGTGTGTAATGTTGTGTTTGGTTCGTTTTTCTTCACTGCTGGCAGCAACAGAGAGCCCCATTCATTCTTATTGCTGTATCCATCCACAGTGGTTACAGCTTTCATTTGGCCCACTTGCTCTTGAGCATGAACATCTCCAGTGAGGCTCTTCACATCATGTGTCCATCCATCATCTGAGCCTGCTTATCCTGTTTGGGGTTTCAGGCAGCAGATTCTCACAGGACCGACACACAATTACATTCACTCCTAAGGGCAGTTTAGAGACTGTTGGACATGTTGTTGGATTATGGGAGATAACCAAATGCCAAGCAGACATGAGGAGAACATGGATACTCCACACAGAAAAGCCCCAGCTGGCCAGCAGATTTAAACCCACAGCCTTTTTGTTGTTGTTGTCTTACAAAATGATGAATAGGGGAAACATCCTGGTGCAGCTAATGAAAACTATCAAACTGCAGATCTCGCAGAGGTAAAGAAAATTAAGCTATGAAACAGGGGAGGTTTAATTAAACTTCTCTAGGAGCAAAGCTGCTACAGAAACATTAATAACTTTAATGGTTAAATAAAATGGTCGGTAAGTGAAGTTTGTTTTAGCCTGAAGCACAAAATAACCACAATACATCGTGTGTATACTGTGGACATATAGTATGTGGGGGGCTGAGTCAATACCAATTATTTCACTGTGTGCTGAGATGTCGGACTTTGAAAACCCACCTCCCAGCCCTCATTTAAGCAGTCTTTTTATCTTCCAGCTCGCTCAGGATGAGGGCAGCCCAGTGCGAGGCTTTGGTGTGGTGGAGTATGAGAGTGCGGAGCAGGCGGAGGCTGTGCTGATAGAGATGGACCGAACACTGGTGGGAGGACAAGAGGTCCGTCTCTCACTCTGTACCCCCGGCACCTCAGGGAGAAGCACCCTGGCTGCACTCATCGCCGCCCAGGGTATGGTGAGTATTACCACGCTCGTGCACAAGCATGGGCCATATACTTCTGTTCGAGTCCGAAAGAGTACTAATCAAGCCTGGCCCTTACCTGTTTTTTATGTCCAAACCAACCCGAGTCCGACACACTGTCTGATGACAAATTTTAATTGACATCCTCCATCCTTAGCTAGATTGCTGCTGAAATAGCTTATGTGTTGCATTCATGCGTTGTCACGTAAATAACAACCCCCAGCACTGAACAAGAATCAGCCCAACACAGACAGGAAGTCCATCATTTTTATTTGTTTTTACACTTTATTTTCTCTAAAAACAGAACTTGAAGCAGCATGTCAAGTAGGCTGATCCTAACCCAAACATAATTTGTAAATATTTGTCCAAACCCAACCCGGCCCCATGGGTCCTGTCCACGGATCATATTAAAAAATGGACATAGCTACCGTGATATTACCCACAGGTTTATGGACTGCCATTTTGAGGCGTCAACTTCTGTATTTTGGCTGTCACCATCTTGTTTTTTGGAACCAGAAGTGACGATTTTTGGATAAGAGTGGAGTTGTGAAGGACTTAGCGATGCCTCGCAGACAGCACGTCATTCAAGCTGTCCTGCCTTTAAATATCCATAACTTTAAGCAGTAGTAAAGTGTTAACGGGTGAGCAGAGTTGGGTATGGCAAAGTAACGTTAGAGTACTTTGATTACTTTTTGCAGTAATGAGTAACCTAACGTGTCAGTTTGCTGTTTGAGTAATCAAATACTTAAGTACATTTTCAAACAAGACATCAGTTACTTCCGTTACTTTTAGAACGCTGGTCCTTCAGCTCAAAAACAACAACAACTGTCATTTGGTTCTAATAACAAAGATAACGTTAAACATATCAGTCTGAAAGAAGCCACGGAGCTTGTGGCTCGCTACGTGGTCGGAGAAATGCTGCCGTTGTCTACGGTCGAGTCTAAATAGGGGTGCCGTAGCATTGTTCTGACCTCTCATTAGTCCGACGTCCTGTTGTTCCGATATGTGATTATACTAGGCTATACTGTAGGCCCTATTTGTGTACCATAGAGGATCAGCAACGCAACAAAAGTAGGCTACTGGTTGAGATACAAGTGCCATAGAGAGGAGAGAATGAAACACCATAACCTCCTGTTATTAACTCAGGGGTCCGTGTTGTGTGGGGAGCTCTCCGCGGTGCTGAACGGCTCCTGGCAGGCGTATTTCTGCCTTGATGGTGCGCCGCGACCGGCTCTGGGTCATCTGGGAAAGGCTTGAGGCGAAGCAGGCTCACGGCTTATGTGTTTGCCACTTTTTTTTTTCATTTTTACCCACACCATGATCTTTTCCTGACCCTAACCAAGTTGTTTTTGTGCCTAAACCTAACCAGACCTTAACCACAGGCATCATGATGATTTCGGAACAACGGGACTTCGGAACAATGGGTTTAATATGGTCGGAACAATGGGATGTCGGACCAATGGGCAGCCCCCCTAAATAGGTGGAGTAGGACTCACTGACAGACATATTTCAGACTCAGGACTTGCATTATGCCTGGTACACACTGGTACTCACCAATTATCCCCGGTCGTCTTTCATGGCGTGTGTGATGTCATCGGGTTATTCTTGTCACTATTATTTGAGTCACTGTGTCTGTTCATGTGCCAGCTGACATGTTGTTGTAGTCACCTAAAAGCGTCAGCAGATGGCAGGAGCTACATTTGAAGCGACATACGTAAACTGTCAAGCTACTGTATCTTCCACAGGAAGTTCTGACAAATGTTTCAGAATAAAAGCCTATTTAGAAAATGGAGTGATTCTTTCAGCCGAGGTTATAAGGGGCTTTTAATTTGAAACAAGTGTTGAGTTTGAAATGACGGTGTGATATGTTAACTTTACAAAGACAACAGAGCGGATAAAAAGTAAATATATAAACACACAGAGAGATTAATAAATAACGGACTGTCTATAATGTAGTCTGTGTCAAATGAAGCTGGGAGCCTCTGCAGTTGTGGTGAGTAAAAGCCACGCCACTATTTGTTAATGTTATTACTTTATGTCCGACCGTGAGGATGTAACATTGTTTGCTAGCTTGATGCTAATGAAAGTAACGTTAACTCAGCGGGTTGACAAAGTGCCTCTGCTGTTTCACACCATCATTTCCCCCTTTTACTCTGTGTGGTAACATCCCTAGAGGAAACATTAAAAATGCTGGGGTGTTGTTGTCATACAGTTGTCTACGGCAGCAGATCGTTGTGTGTTTCTACTGGTCAAAGTGACAAAAAAATGTAGGTTTAGCGCCCTGTGGTCCATTGCCCAACAGGAAATGTAGAATACTCAAAAGTACTTTAAAAGTGCTTGAGTTACTTTTCTCAGGGAGTAACGTTGGAAGTACTTTTAAAGTAATTGAGTTACTTTACTCAGGGAGTAACGCAGTAAAGTAACTGGTTACTTTTTAAAAAAAGTAATGCAGTAACGTACTTTGATTACTTTTAAAGTAACCCTTACCCAACACTGCAGGTGAGTTGTACAAAAATTCACCCCGTAATTGTCATGAATGTTTGTATCAGCTATAGAGACTAAAACAGTTTTTGTACCAGGCTGTAAACATGTTCATTTTTGCTGTTTCTGGAGCCAGCCTCAAGTGGCCATTTAAAGAACTGCAGTTTCTGGCACTTCCCCATTGGCTTAATTTTTTTTAGCCCCAGAGGTTGCCCCCTGGTCCAGTCGCACTGGGGTTGGGTATCCACACTCTAATGCACGCAGCTTTTTTTATTTTATTTTGAAAAACATTGATCTTCTCTTTTAACATTTCCTCAAATCTGAAAGTCTATACACTGTATCACCAGGGTTTCTATGGAAACACACATATGTATCCCTGATATGCATATACACATACAACCTCTGCCTGCAATAGTTTTTGTGGCTGTGGTATCCCTCCTACACTGTACTGTGGTATCAGAGAGGAACTGACGTGATAATTATAGTTCTATAGACTGATTGGGCTCCTCCACTGTCTACTGCTGCCTAAAATAAACCAAACTCCCGACACAGTATGACACCCATACATTCAAACACACACGGGCGTTTCAAATAGATGCAGCCAAATTACACACACACACACACACACACAGGTTGTGAATACGAGTGAGAGCTCAAATCAGTTGTGGGAAAGCAACAGTGCTTGTTTCTCTTCATGAGGACATGGATTTATATATAGCTATGTACTTACAGGTGTAGAATTTAGATAGAAAAGTGGGTAAGTGAAATTATAGGCTGAGGCTTGATGCTTTTGCAATCAAAAATCAGTGGCATGAATACTGACAAGTTTGTGTGTATATATAGAGGAATGAGGGAGGCAGGCAGCTCCCAAAATGTTTGTTTTAGAGGAAATTGTGTTTAAAAAGAGGGGTTGTCTCAAATTCAAGGACTAGACATAAATGTCTCGATGCATTCACACTCTCTTCATCCTGTCTGTGCGTGTCTGTGACTCATAGTCTCTGTAGAGGAGAACAGTGGTCATTGAGAGGGGAACTAGCAGCTAATTAAGTATACTGTATCTCCACCAGCTCATCATAGTGTTGATAATGGTCGTTAATACACCAATCGACTGGTAAATGCTAAATGTTGATTTTTATAGATGTCTTTTAGATGTCTTTCATGTTTATTGATTTATTATTTTATTATTTATTGATTTATTCAAAACCAGGTAATGTGAAAGCAGGGTCTTGTGTGTGTTTCCAGTCAACCATAACTGTAACTACACACATTATAATGTAGATTTAGTAGGTTTTCTTATTTGTTTTTAACATGGCTTTTCATGGAGTCCAGTGAACCTCCAATAATCCAAAGTTAATAATGGCCCCATTCACAATGTCAGTTGTAATTTGGCAGCCTATAACAGCCCATAGGCACCAATTATAACAGTGTTGCTCCTGTCACGTGGAAAAAATGAAATTTTCACATGAACCACAGGTTTATGCTTCATTATGAGTTACCCACAGGCCATGGAAAACCATTACAGCTTGCTGCTTTACTCTCGTCTGATGATAAATATTTTAGATTACTCTAATTGAGCTTATGGAGGGCTACAATTAAAAAGTAGCTCTAAAAGACTTGAACTGCAGCACTGCTAAGCCAATTTCGACACAATGTTTCTGCCCCAGTGCCTACATTAGCCTGGTAAGGGTGCTATAATACAGTACAGGCCAAAAGTTTGGACACACCTTCTCATTCAATGCGTTTTCTTTATTTTCATGACTATTTACATTGTAGATTCTCACTGAAGGCATCAAAACTATGAATGAACACATGTGGAGTTATGTACTTAACAAAAAAAGGTGAAATAACTGAAAACATGTTTTATATTCTAGTTTCTTCAAAATAGCCACCCTTTGCTCTGATTACTGCTTTGCACACTCTTGGCATTCTCTCCATGAGCTTCAAGAGGTAGTCACCTGAAATGGTTTCCACTTCACAGGTGTGCCTTATCAGGGTTAATTAGTGGAATTTCTTGCTTTATCAATGGGGTTGGGACCATCAGTTGTGTTGTGCAGAAGTCAGGTTAATACACAGCCGACAGCCCTATTGGACAACTGTTAAAATTCATATTATGGCAAGAACCAATCAACTAACTAAAGAAAAACGAGTGGCCATCATTACTTTAAGAAATGAAGATCAGTCAGTCCGGAAAATTGCAAAAACTTTAAATGTGTCCCCAAGTGGAGTCGCAAAAACCATCAAGCGCTACAACCAAACTGGCACACATGAGGACCGACCCAGGAAAGGAAGACCAAGAGTCACCTCTGCTTCTGAGGATAAGTTCATCCGAGTCACCAACCTCAGAAATGGCAAGTTAACAGCAGCTCAGATCAGAGACCAGATGAATGCCACACAGAGTTCTAGCAGCAGACCCATCTCTAGAACAACTGTTAAGAGGAGACTGCGCGAATCAGGCCTTCATGGTCAAATAGCTGCTAGGAAACCACTGCTAAGGAGAGGCAACAAGCAGAAGA